CAAGGGGTTTAGCTAGAGTGCCTTCCCTGCAGAGACATGAACAACAACGACGACAATAATACCCAGTGTAGTCCCACAAGTGGGGTCTGGGGAGGGTAGTGTGTACGCAAACCTTACTCCTATCTATAGAAGGCAGAGAGGTTGTTTCCGGTAGACCCTCAGGCTCATGAAGGAAAAAGAGGAGGGGCAATAACAAGCAAACCAATCTGATAACCGAAGCGAAAATACAAAACTAACGCTAAATAATGCAATCAGAAAACCGAAACAACAGGCAGCACCAAGTAATAACAGAAGTCTAGGGATATGAAAGAAACACGAAGGACACTAAATGATGTATCAAAGTTACCGCTACAAACAAGAACAACACTCGGTTACTTAACCATTTACCTTTATACTCAACATCCACACCTTCATATCCATAATCATGTCCTCAGTCAGTTGGAGTAACGTTGTATCTTGCCTAATCACCTCTCCCTAATATTTCTTCGGACTGCCTCTGCCTCTCCGGTGGCCCTCTAACGCCAGCCTCACACCTCCTTATTGGAGCATTAGTGTCTCTCCTCTTAACATGCCCGAACCATCTAAGTCTCCTCCCGCATCTTGTCCTCCCTAGGGCCCACACCCGCCTTCTCCCTGATAACTTCATTAGTAATTCTATTTATCCTGATATGCCCGCCTATCCATCTCAACATCCTCATTTCAGCCACCTTCATCTTCTGGACATGGGAGTTCTTGACTGGCTAACACTCTGCCCTATACAGCATAGTCAGGCTTACCACTGCTTTATAGAACTTACCTTTAAGTTTAGGTGGCACATTTTATCACATAGAACACCGGAAGCGTGCCTCCATTTCATCCATTCCGCTCCAATACGGTGTGCGACATCCTCATCGATCTCCCCATGGAGAAAAAGTATATAAGAAAACCAAGTTCTTTTTTATTTAACCATCTTGTATCCAAAGCCTATTGACAGGAGTAATTAAATTTGTGCCGGGTAGAATCACAAAGAGAGTAGAACACTCCTTCCAAAAGTTAAAAATAAAGAAAAGAGTTTACTTGCCCAATAAAGATAAAATCAATATAGTCAGTATAACAATCACCCCCCTCTCTCTCTATATATATGCTATATAATCATCTCTCTCTCATTTTTTTTTTATTATAGAAGTAAAGTTTTCTACCTATACTAGCAATAATTATCGTTATACCGATGCACTCTTTATAAAATTACCTTTATGACAACCCTATTCAAATATCGATGGTTGACTTTCACTATAGATTTCTTTCATTAAAATTGAAAATTTTTAATTTTCAATTAGTTCTAAAATACGTATATATATGCTTTAGAGAGTTTAATTCTTTAGATACAAATACAACCAGCATTAACAACATATTAGATTTAAATTTTTTTTTAAAAAATGAAATGTGAACATTTATTGAGATTTTAAACTTAAACAATTTATTTTCATTTATTAACAAATGACTTTTTGCCTAATTGTCTATACCAGCCAAACAAGATTTAAAGATCAAATGCTATTATAGGGGTATAGCAACCATTTACTATAATGACCTAAAAGTATCCGGACAACAACGTCATTATAGAAAGGTCAAATTGTAAAATGTAGTGTGCAACTACTTAAAGATAAGGCACAACATGAATTCCTATTTTATAGCCTTAAAACGCCAAAAAAAAAATGAGAAACAGTCATGGCGAATCAATGACTAATGTTCATTAGATCGTTTTTAATGAGCTCACAAAATTTTAGACGGTTCAGAGCCCGTGGCCTGAATTCATGAAGATAACGTGGACACGAAAAATTGAAAATCATCCTGAATTCTTATTTTATGGCCCTAATACTCTAAAAAATGAGGAATAGTCACAGCGAAGCAATGACTATTGTCCAATGTCCATTAGGCCGTTTCTTATTGTCCATAAAATTAAAAGGCGATTAGGAGTCGTCGTCCGAGTTCATGAAGATGGCGTTGACATTAACAAGGTAAAAATTTGGGAATCGTCTTGAATTACTATTTTATGGCCTTAAAATGCCAGAAAATAAGGACAAGTCAAGGTGAAGCCATGACTATTATTCATTAGGTCGTTTTGGATGGGCCTACAAAATTTTAGTTGATTCAGAACCCGTCGCCCGAACTTATGAAGTTAGCGTGGACATTAGCATACAAAATTGGGAATCGTCTTGAATTCCTATTTTATTGCCTAAAATCTCAAAAAACGAGGAACATACATAGAGAAGCGATGACTATTGATCATTAGGTCGTTTCCGATGGGCCTACAAAATGCAAATGGTGTGGACTATAACACATGAAAATCTATGAAGCGTCCTAAATTCCTATTTTATGATCCTAAAACGCTAAAAATGAGGAACGATCATTGTGAATCGTGACTATTGTTCATTAGATCTTTTTTATGGGCCCACAAAATTTTAAGAGATTCGAGCCGGTCGCCGAATTCATCAGATGGTGTGGACTATAGAACACGAAAATCAGGGAAATTGTCCTGAATTCCTATTTTATGGCCCAAAAAATACTAAAAAACGATGAACGGTCATGGCAAAGCAATGTGTATTGTTCATAAGGCCTTTTTGATGGGCCTGCAAAATATTAGAAAATTCTAGGCCAGTAGCCCGAATTCATGCAGATGGCGTGGACTAGCACACGAAAATTTGAAAATCATTCTGAATTCCTGTTTTATGGCCCTAAAATGCTAAAAAGGAGGAATGGTCATGACGAAGCGATGGCTATTATTTATTAGGTCGTTTTTGATGGGCCCATAAAATTTTAGGAGATTTGAGGTCGGTCACCTGAATTCAAGTAGATGGTAAGGGTTATAGCACACGAAAATCTGGGAATTATCTTGAATACCTGTTTTATGATCCTAAAACACCAAAAAATGAGGAACAACTATGACGAAGCGATGATTATTGTTCATTAGGTTTTTTTATGGGCCCGCCAAATTATAGAAAATTCCAGACCGGTCGTCCGAATTCATGTAGATGGCATGGACTATAACATACAAAAATTGAGAATCATCATGAATTCTTATTATATGGTCCTACAAACGCTAAAAAACGAGAAACAGTCATGACGAAACTTTGACTATTAGTCATTAGGTCATTTTTGATAGGCCCGCAAAATATTAGGAGATTTAGGGTCGGTCGCCCGAATTTGAAACGACCCAACTGGTCGTTTTGAGCTTTTGCACTTTGATCGTCAGTTCTCGGGCATGACTTGCCCCGTGTTATGTATTATGACTAGTGTAGATCGTTGGTTTTAGTTTCAGGAAAATTTGGAATGAATTTGAAAGAAACAGTTTCAGTAGAAAGCCTTGAATTTGAAAGGTTTGACCAAGAGTTGACTTAATTGTATATGAGCTCGGATCGGAGTTTTTATGATGTGGTTAGCTTCATTGGATGATTTGTGACTTAGGAGTGTGATCGGAAGTGATTTTGGAGGTCCGGTGTAGAATTAGGCTTGGATTGGCGAAGTTAGTATTTTGGCGAATTCCGGTTGATAGGTGAGAATTTGATCCGAGGGTCGGAATGGAATTCCGAGAGTTGCAGTAGCTTCGTTAGGTGATTTGGGATGTGTGTGCAAAATTTCAGTTGATTCGGAGGTGTTTTGGTTGGGTTTTGATCGAATGCGAGTTTCGGAAGATTTGGATGAACTTAAGCTTGAATTTAATGTAATTTGATGGTTTAGGTGTTATTTGTGGTGTTTTGATGATTCGAGCAAGTTTGAATAAGGTGTTGGATCATGTTTGTGTTTTTGGTTGAGGTCCCGGGGGCCTCGGAATGGTTTCGGATGGCTATCGGGGAATTTTGAGCCTTGGTGAATTGCAGGCTTCTGCTGGTATCTGGTATTTTCGCACCTGCGGTTATGGGACCGCAGGTGCGGTTTCGCAGAAGCGGAGGAGGAAGCCACAGAAGCGGTTTTGGATCTTGAGGCAGTTTTCGCAGAAGCAGAAGGGTGGACCGCAGGAGCTGTTCCGCTGGTGCGGAGTTTCGAGCCGCAGAAGCGGCAGGTGGCGCAGGTGCGAGTAGGCGGACCGCATCTGCAGAGTCGCAGATGCGACATAGAGGATGCAGATGCGGAATTTGGAAATATTAGGGAAATTCGCAGAAGCCGTGAGTTGACCGCAGAAGCGGTGGTCGCAGATGCGGCTAAGGAGCTGCAGATGCGGAAATGATTGGTCAGTGATATATAATTTCTCCTTCGCGAATTTTTAAAAGGGTTTCATATTTTCACTTCGGACTTGGAGGATTTAGACGATTTGGAAGAGGGGAATCACGGGACTTCTTTGAGGTAAGGATTTCTGAGTTTAAAACACAATTCTAAGGTGTTATTACATGAATTTAGACTGAAAACTCAAGGAATTAATAGGCAAAAATGGTGATTAGGGCTTGAAACTTAAGAGAGTTAAGAATGGGGATTTGAGGGGCCATTTGGACTCCGATTTTGGTAAATTTTATATGTATAGTCTCGTGGCGAGATAAGGAATCCATTAATGCTAAATTTTTTGATTTTCGAGAAATGGGCCCGGGGCTCGGGTTTTGCAAATTTTGTGATTTTTGATGTTTTTCGATTCTTTTCGATTGGGTTATGTTCCCTTAGCCTATTGTGATGTATTCCCTCTGATTTTGGATAGATTCGACGTGCGTGGAGGCCGATTTGAGGGGTAAAGGCGTCGCGAGCTAGAGGTTTCACCGGTTCGAGGTGAGTAATGATTGTAAATGATATCCTGAGGGTTTGAAACCACGGATTTGCACACCGTAGAGCTATATTGAGGTGACTTGCACGTCGGATAGCGAGCGTGGGGTAGAGCACCGT